GGGATCATAATGTGGTGGTTTCCCGTTGCCTTCCACATCGCAGTATTGTGCATCAGAGTGCCATACCGATCCTCGTGATCTCTGCCACCCTGAGTACTGAAAGAGCTGCTGCCCTCTTTCAGAGACTTGTCTTAGTCTGGCTTCTCTTTAAGAACCCCTCCATTACGGTTTAACCTATGGTCCGGCTCCCTAAATCATCGAAACTCGCAAGCCGATCCACCCACTCTAGTTTGTACAAGAGTTTCGTCAAGGTTCAAGTCCCGTCGGATAGGTAAATTAAGTATTATTATTACTTTATTTATGGTTTTGTTACTATTCTGAGCATGTCTATGCAAATCAACCATAACTATAACTTAAAGAACTTTAAAAAATTAATATGCTACAAACGTATACAAGTTAAAAGGTAGCGGTGACAGTGTGCATCCCTGTCTTCCTTCTTAATATTTACTTCTCTACGTTGCAGTTCCAGCTCTATAACTGCCTGTATCTATTTTTATACATTTACATATATGCATTCAATTAAATAGTTTTGACACATTATCAGCTCATTTGTGATTGGTTAAGCACTTTTTACCTTCTTTGTTGCTGTTTTGTCCCATTTTATTAACTTATAATCGTCACCTTATTCGTAAAGCATTCAAATTNTTTCTTGCTTAACCATAAAAATAACACGAATAAAATAATTCCGAATACATACACATATTTATTTAAATTTATTGTACCTTAACACGATCCGATTCACTAGAAATATTAGATTTTTTAGAAGATTTTTTGAGTTTTTGTTTATCAACATTGGTAGTTTTTTGGACAGAAGCGTTCACAAAATTGCCCTTATTCTTGTTAGCAAAAAAGTCGTTTTTGCGGGCCTTCTTCTGCTTTCTTTCTTCTTTACGAAGTTGCTTACGAGATTTTTTGGTAATCATCACAAGCAATTGCAAAAAGTGTATGAATTACTGTTAACACATTTATAATATTGTAGGTTATATTTTTATGACTGTTTTATGATAGCACACCGCAAACATCAGTGGTATTAGGCGCCTTCAACCATAGAGAATAAAGCAGGACAAAAAGAGTAAAAGGTCTTTATTATTTTGCTAGTTCTTCCCCCCTATCAGTCACTGTGAGCTCGAAACTGTTAGCACCATTGCTTCGAGTGGTCGAAATTCACTTTTGTGAACAATTCGTTTAATCACCTTCTTTGTCTTAAAAATTGTTTAAAAAATTAAATTTAAAGAAATTGCTTGTAAATAGGTATGCAACACATCGTACGCTTCAGCATAAGGAATTGTTGATACTAGCTACATAATACTACTTTGAACAGGCATACATATTTTAGAGATGCACTAGT